CCCCCCCCCCTCTCCCGTTAAAATAGGTGCATTTCGTACGGGTAACCTTCCCCGTCCGAAATTCCCTTTCGTTTGCAGTCGCTGCCGAAATCCTCCCCCCCCCTCCCTCCCTCCTCCCCTTTCCAACCCTACTATTCATGATTTTTTTACCTATTCATTAACATCAATCTCGTTGTTATCGCCGTTGTGAACGGTAGCGATCAACTGAAAAGCTTAATAGTATTTTCTTGCAGAGGTTTCAAAATAGTAGGACCATTTGTATTGATGCTCTATAAGATCATTATGAAAGATTTATTACGTTTTTTCATCATCTATTGCGTCATTGCGATCGGATTCTCACAAGGTACTTCTTATTTCTTTGTTCAATGCTTGCAATTCTTGAAAATTTAGAAATATGAATCGCATCGAGTTCCGAATGCAGGACGTATCAAGTAAACAGGTAGATCCAGGTGATCTGAGATCCAGGAAACTCAGGATATCACATGAAAATTTTAGATACAGGAAAATTTTTTTGGAACTATACAAATGTGACTGCTTTCTTATTTATATTTATTCTTCTGATCGACAAAACCTTTCACGATTCCCTTTCATTTAGCGTTTTATGTGATATTTTTGGGTTTTAATCGAAATGATCCAAGATTAAAAGTGAATGAGGAAGGGTCAGTGATGCGTCATGTTCCTGAATCATTCATACGAATGTTTCTGATGTCACTCACTGAATTCACCGTTCTTTTTGACCAATTGGACGACTGTGAATTAGCTGTTGTTGGAAAAGTAAGTGAAAAAGCCATTGTTCTTAACAGTTTATCAATAAATAGGAGTACAACAATGCATAGGAGATGGCAAACGCAATGCTAGGGGTTAACTTGTGGAATATTGCAGATAACGTTTGTGATTTACATGCTACTAGTGACAATGTTGTTGATAAATATGCTAATTGCAATGATGACTAACACGTATACGGAGGTGAGTGAGAACTCATTGGAATGGCTAAGACAGTGGTCAGCGATTATACTGATGATGGAACAGAGTTTTGATCCGGCAACACGACTGAAATATCAGTCGATGTATTCGGTGCCAATGGAGGACTGTAAACGTATCGCATTATTGCTGAAACTTCGAATACCCGTCAGTTTGTTACCATTTTGACACCATCATTACTCAAATCAGTCAACAATCAGATCAGTAAAACTTTTTTGCAGGATGATGAATATAAAGCAAAACAAGAAAGAATCAAAATGAAGCGATACAAATTCAGAGACGATATGCGACGTTCAGCAAGACTGTCCAGTGTATGCAGTACCACGGTCATGTCAGCAATAATCAAAAACTGATCAATTATTCAATCAATCTTAGTCACCTATACTAATGCTCGATTCATTATATGAATATACCTGAAAAACATTTCATTATTGATGTCGCTCTTTGAAATGAACGATACCAAGCACTCGCGAATAAGTGCTCTGTGGTGAGCATAATAACATAAACATATTGCTTATTATACACGTAAATTGATTGCATTTTTGATTTACTATGAACTGTTGAGTTAAAGTGCTCTTTCTTCGCAATCTTTATTAGAGCACTTAAATTCAGCTTCATCTGCAATCAACAGTCAATTTCATGCACATGTTGAATGAGGATATTTTCAATGAAGCCAAATATTTCGTTACTATCGTATTATCGACCTAGAAAGTACATCTTAATCGAAGAAATTCCTTCAGGTGATAGTCACTTAGATTATACAAAAGCAGCTTAGAAAGGCCATTCAACAACATTGGGCGAGTGAATAATATATCATTGCTTATTCGATGAGAACATTAGCATTTAGACAGTAGCAGTAGCATGTGAAATGGATGAATTTTTATAGTGCTTCGGAGGGAAGGTGATATCAACAAGAGATTGTCATCACAATTCTGAATTAAGTGACTTTCATGAAACAGAATTTCAATGAAGACTGCAAACATTAGGCAGTGTCCCACTTATGGGACAAATGAATAACGATAAAGCCATAAGCAATAGCCAATGCTATTGATCACCACAGCAATAGCAGCGTTATGCAGTTTCAACTCAGTTCTTCTTTACAACCCAATCAGTTATTTAATGAGCTCATTTCATCTATCAGTTAAGAAAAGAGAAAGGCTGAAGCAGCATCACCATCAAGCACACTTATGGTTTCGAATGAAAATCAACCAGAACAATAGAATTGGTTTTTTGATTGAAGATAATATTTTGAGGAGTGAATGCATCAATTATTATTACAACTGCTTCTAAAGCAGTAGAAACTACACCAAAAAACAGCTTACAACTAGTCTTACAAGTGATCGATTGACCACTCAGTTCGATAATAGTGATCTTGATCTGGATACATTTCTGTCAATATTTGTTTATTTATTCACCTCTCCGTAAGCATCTATCTGACCTGACAAAGCTCAACCAATAGAACAGTGCCAAGCTGTTATCAATGTGGAACGTGCAAAAGTTGAGGTCTAGACAGGAGAAGTTAAGCAACTGAATGCGAACACAGATAGACGATTGACTCTAAGAACTCACTGGGGGCGTATGAAACAACTAAGTGATTACATACGCAAGTTATTAAGCATCAAGTGGGCTCAACTCGGCTGTATAATATACGAAAGAAAAGGAGGGATAAAATTCTCTCTATTTGCACAGTCAGGACTATTCAGCTGGAACTGAGAGTTGAAGCTAAAGATATTGAGAGACTAAATGTGATTGATCAAATCCAGACAAGAGAGAGATCGAGTGTAAAATCTACTTTTCAACTAAATATAAGTTGTTGTTAATTGCAAATGATAGATGATTAAGATTGAGATGAATTGATGATAGAGTAGAAGTTGATGTAGAGGTAGGTATTGTAGGCGAAGAAATTTATTTGTTGTTACTAAAGTAAATACGAAGAAATAGTTGAGGTGAATATGTATTTGCGTTGTAAAGTGAATGTGTTGAGGGGGATAGCATAGGATATCGCTAAAAATGTGTTCTGTTTAAAATCGTTGAGAAATGATTGTTAAAACACATCCTCAGTGAGCCTCATCCGCAGTTCGCTCGATTGTATCGCTTCTATTCGAGTGTTTAGGTCTTCTAAACAACAAATCCACTCAGCTTCTTCATTCCTTTACTAAACTTTACTTAAAACACTCGATTGATCATGGTAAGTAAATACGAGTCATACTTTACTTTGTATTATTTTACACTATATAAATATATGCATATTCCAAAATCCATATCCATACAAATTCATATCCCAATTGATACATTACATCGAAGTTGTTTTGTTCGTTTCATCATTGCACTGTTATTATTGTAATTATTCGCAATTAAATATTCAAAAAAGGAATGAAATGAGGTTGGTGTGATGAATGGAATCATTTATTTAAAAATCATATATTAAGAATGTTACAAACTGAAGTATGTATGAATTTTCTATCAAACAAGCATGTTGATATGCTTTAACAGTCATTAGAAATGAGCTGTTTTGTTTGATGCGTCGATTCCAACTTCTTTATGAATTCAGTCGAAGGCCGCTAAGAAGAAGTCGAGCAAGAAGCGATCTGGATCAGAAGCCGCACAATTCGATCAAAAGACAATTCAAGAGTTCAAAGAGGCTTTTGGTATAATGGATCAGAACAAGGATGGCATAATCGATAAGAACGACTTGAAAGATTTGTATGCTTCAATGGGACAAATCGCTTCAGATTCACAAATCGACGCGATGATCAAAGAAGCACCAGGACCGATCAATTTCACTGTATTTTTAACACTTTTCGGTGAACGACTTACAGGTACTATGTGCTTTGATTCCTGTCTCATGTTTCATGCTTAAAATAATCGAATCCAATGGAATGACTTGTACGTAGCAATTAGCAATTATCGCATTAATAGAGTAACATAATCATGGTAATTAAATAAATTACTTCAGGTACTGATCCTGAAGCGACAATAGTTGGAGCATTCCAAATGTTCGATAAGAAAGAATGCGGAAAAATTCCCGAAGATGAGCTCGTCAAAATCTTGCAGAATAAACGAGGAGAGCCATTGGATGACGATGAAATCAAGGCAATGTACAAGGTATTTATTATCATTTCTTCACTCCTAGAATAGTGATAAGATGCAGGCAACATTACAAAGAATCGTTTCAGGGAAAACCACCAATAGATGGAGGTATGGTTGATTACAAAGCGTTCGCACATCTGATTTGCACCGGTGCCCAAGAGGAGTTGGCTCAAGCTTGAACTACAACAACACAAGCACATTATCAGTACTATCGTGCACGGCAACGACGTGAATATGCCGCATCTAAACATCCTATTCGAACAACTACAAATGACCTTCTCGCGTCACCATTGAATCTAGTACGCCTAAGGGCGCTCTTGCTGTCGGATTACAGAATGCTCGTTCATTCCTTTCATAAATCCTCCTTTTTCAAATACTTTCTTCTCAATTCATTTCCCTTCTTCACCTTGCAAAAACGTTGTTTTTCATTGCTTTTTATCGTCCAGTTATTTCCACAATTACTTTTCAATTTATTTTAATCGTCTTTTGAATTTTGCCAATATTTTCTGGTAGGAAATTTTTTTGCTATTTCAACAATAAAACAGTCGCAATATTCCATTCAAAATTTCCTTCCCAATCTTTTTTCTCTCATTTTCATTTTAGTAATCTGGCAGCATCAGCGACCGACCGTTTACGTTGTAATTTTCGTGTAACGATAGTTCACTGCATATGTGTGCATCCGTTGTGTTGTACGTGAATTTATCCTCCAGAAATTTCCGCTTATTTTCCTGTGAAACGACTGTTAGCTATTCAAATACTACCAAATGCGTGTATGATTGTCAAGCTAGTAATAAATACTGCTGTTAATTCTAACCACACCTTCTGAATGAAAGAGATGCTCCCTCTCAAATTTATACTTACCAATAAACATGTAAAAATGCCGTCCAAACCTTATTTCATCGTTACCAATCAGCCATCTACAATACAATCGCTTTTCTCATTTTAAAAACGTCTTTCATAATTTTAATCATCATTTGCAATTTTAAAGTTAAACGATCGTATTTTTAAAAGCAGTGGAACAGACTTCAAAAGACATTACAGCAGTAACACATTCCTCTAATTCTACACAAACAAATCATCGTCGTCATCCATTATTCGTCAAAGTATTTAGAGCAGTGTTGCGCGGCATCTCGACATTTCATTCCACATCTGAAAAATTCCAACATTCCGAACATTGATGAAACGTGGCCTTTCTTACAACTTTTGTGATATACTCTTCATGAATGAAACATAAAATGCTCAGTTCATTCACATACAGTAGCACTTGTTGTTTACTACCCAATCGACAATGAATGCTCAATGATTACATAATAGCGCCAACGCATTTTTCGTTTCTTGGAAACCTATGAGCAAAAGATTCGAAATGTTATCACTCTTGCTTTGTCTTTTGTTTATTATGTTCCATCGATTTCGTTTATATTCTTAAATGTTTCTTCAAACGATGCAACTTCACCCAGTTATATTTAAAAAATACAACAAAGTAGTAAACATTTTCGCAGCTAGGAATATTTTTTATTCAAAAAAGAAAATAAACTGCGAATGTAAATTATGCAATGAAATTGAGAAAGCAAAAGGATTGTCCAAGAAAGGACTACTTGTGCATTTAAATACAATATTCTACATTTAGAATGCATTTAAAGTCGAAGCACAACACAATATTCTCCAACGAAATAAATCCAACGGAAGCAAGAATTGATCCACCAACTACCGAATTCTCTAATCTTTTCCTCTACCAACTAATGATTCAGTGAGTTAAATGATCGCCAAGCTTTGTTCCGCTGATGGCTCAAGTTTCAAATCTATTGCAAAAAGTGAAGTTCTCCGTAGGTTTTTTCAATCTAACAGAACTTTTTTCTAAATATTTGATATTTTAAAGTTACTAAATTCCGGAATTGAGAAGCAATCTCAAGATGTAATCCACACATTTCAAAACTAAAAAATGGTCGGGATTTTGCAAACATTAATTCAGAGTGAAAACAGAGAAAGGAAGATAGATTTACAAAATGACACACAGTAGATGCACGTATGAAGTGGATAATCAATAAAACAACATGAAACAGGATGTTCGTTGTAAGAATACTTTCGTGAATAATAATAATAATAATAAATAATAATAATCATAATAATAATAATCAATCCGAGAATGTGCTCGTGAAAGCAGATTGTCCAGATGCCCAATACTCGAGCTGTCCACTTGCCCAACGCCAATAGATCGCAGCACCGAACAAGTAGATAAATGCAGTCAGATAGAAC